TAAGAAATAACCTAGGAAAGAGGAATACAGAGTGTGAAGGACTGTAATTTTAAATAAAGTATAATTCATTTGAAAAATTAGATTAAATTTCAAGAAGTATTTAATTTACCAAAACTGAAGAAACTTTTTTTTTTTTAATGTTTTATAGCTAGCCAGGATACAACCAATGTTTACAGACTGGCATATTTTCAAGTTGGTTGGGCCTGTGGCATACTGGCCATTAATATTTTTAAATCCTATCCTTGTCTATAACTATTAATAAAAAATAAGTCTAAAATATGCTTACAAAGTAAACAACAGCTTTGTGCTTTGTTAAAATCGAGACCAACCAATAATTGAAAGGACAGAATAGCTTAATATTATCTCAGTTCTCATTGAAAGCAAAACACAAAAGCAGCAGAGGGTTAAGTGGGAGGCAGTCCATTTCATGAAACTAGAAATACCTGTATCTGAGTGGAAAGAGAAAGGAATATTCCTCCCTTGCATTCCATCACAACACTCATAGATTTCTCATGTTTTACATTAATTTCCCACTTGGTTTTAGTTGTTGTTGTTGTTATTGTTGTTGTTTAATCTTCAAATAATTTTTATCCAGAATCTGTCTTTGGGTCTTTCTCTATTACTAATTTGTATCATCTCAATGAATGATATCTATTGCCATGGCTTCAACTGCCACTCATATCATAACAGACACCCAAATTTATATATCTAAACATAATCACTTTCCTAATCTGCATACTCATGTATCTGAAGTTTCAAAAAAAAAAAATCTCTCAAGAATTCTCCACATACATTGCATTGAAAACTCACTGTCCAAAGCTGAACTCCTGAATTTACCACCCTTCTGCTATCGTGACCCTCTGCCTTCATTTCACATCTTGCTGAGTGGGACCATGACTCAAGTTTTCCAATGCAAAAGCCCACACATCATCATTGGTATCTTGCTCTTTATTCCCATCATCCTACAATTGACCAAACCTTTTTCTTTCCTTTAGAGTTGGGGTCTCGCTCTGTCACACAGGCTGGAGGGAAGTGGTGTGATCTAAACTCACTGAAGCCACAACTCCCAGACTCAGGTGAGGTTCCCACCTCAGCCTCCAAAGTAGCTGGGACCACAGGTGCATGCCACCATGCCTGGCTAATTTTTTTATTGCAGAGACGGGGGTCTCACTATGTTGCCCAGGCTGGTCTCAAACTCCTGGACTCAAGTGACCTTCCCCTCTGACTCACAAAGTAGTTGGATGACAGGCGTGAGCCACCACATCTGGCCCAGCTGACCAAATTTTGATGATTCTATCTCCTTAGTGCCTCACTACTAAAATTCTTTCCTTTCCATACCCATGATCACAATTGTATTTTGCATATTGATTTATCCCCCGTATTACTTATGAAAACTTGGCTTCTGTAGTCATTCACAACCCTGCTGACCACTGCTGACCACTCTACCATGTCTATGCTATTCTTTCACCTGGAACCCTTCCTTTTCTCCATCCCCATCAGAGTTATCCTAGTCAAAAAAGTTTTCTGCATAATCCACTTTCATTTCTGAACCAAGTATTGAAAGAATACCCTTCTTTGACCTTTCATAATTCCACTGTTATTCCATATAGCATTTATCCAAATCTGTATACTTGCAATCTCTCTAACTGGACTAGGAGACCCTTAAGGGCAGTATTTCTGTCTTTTAGGCAATACTGGTATCTATGTAATCCTTAACATACGGTCCCCTTCAAGAAACATTCATTGAATGAATGAATGAATAAATGAATGATTCATTTACTTATTGAGCATCAGTGGCATGACAGACACTATTCTAAGTGATAATGACATTTTAGTGAACCAAATAGAAAAAAATTTATCTAGCTTCATGGAGCTTATTTTGCAATGAGTGTGTGAATAGGTAATAAGCTGACTGGAAAAGAAACTAGTCAGAGGAGGAGAAAATTCTAATTGGAGCTCAAGTCACAAAACACTATTGCTTTCACTCTGACTTCTCTCTTCTCACAATCTGCCAAACCTAAACTTTGGAGAAATATCACTGATTTTTGTACTGTTGTTTTGACATCTATATATCTTCTCTGGTGAAGTGTCTATACAAATAATTTAATCATTTTAACTATCTTTTACTTATAGTTTTCTAAGATCTTTGGTCTTGAACTTGGGGGGTGGGAAAGTGAGAACCCTCTAGAAGGCTTAGGTGGCCCAGAGGGGCAGCCATAGCCCTGAGGCTGGCAGTTGGGGGGAAGCAAATCAAGGACCCTCCCCTCAGTCCTGAGGAAAAGGTATTTGGCTCAGTCTCCTGCCCTGACTCCCCTCCTGTGAAGAGATGGGGTCCTCATGTCTTCATCTCCTTCTGTGGCCCAGAGGCCATTCCTGGTTGAGCCTCTGGAAGAAGCTTTTGCAGCACTTATAAAGGCTGATCATTATGGCACTGGACAGGGCAGTCTAAAGGACCCTCGGGAGGAAGTCTGCAGAGTCCCCTGGAGCCCCACTGGGCCTGGTGGAGTCAGTGCACTGGGTGGGGCATCACTCTCACAGCTTCCAGGGCTCCCAGGGCAACCTGCCATTGAGTCTTCACCACGTAAAGCGTAGGGTCAGGACCACATACACCATCCCTGAGACTCTGATGGCCGCAAAGGTGACACCTGCTTACATCTAGTCCTTTGGCATTCAACCAGTTCTTCTCCAGCTCAGAGTTGGACCAGTGCAGGGCCGAGAAGGACACATTTGGAAGGGCAGTGGGGCCCAACTCCGCCACAGGAAGCACCAGCTGCCCTAAGCCACCACAGGTGGACACAGGTGCCGAGCTCATGGCAGGTCATGTTCTGAGCTTTCAGCTTTGTCCCCACAAGCTCCAGCCACCAAGAGTGTGCAGAGATCAGAGGTCAGGGCTCTGTCACATAGGACATCTTGAAGTTTGTTGTAAGCTAGTGAAGTAGATGCTGGTGGCTGGCAGGGCCATCACCAGGGTAGCTAGGAGGCTGCTCACCAGGGCCCTGGTGTCCTAATGCTTCACAGTCTTCACAAACGCACCTATGGTGCCAGTGAAGCGGGTCCTGGGGGCACAGCGGACACTATTTGGAGCCAGGTGCAGGGGCTCCAGGACACCACTGCAGTACAGAAGGCCCTGCCCTGTGGCTCGTGGGGAGGAGGGTGATTTGGTGTAGGAGAGGTCCAGAGACTGGAGCGAGGCGACAGCCACAGCAGGTCACTGAGAGCACAGCTGGACCTTCACCACGTCATGGGGTGTCATGGAGATGGAGGTGACCGCTGCAGAAGGCCACCACTTGCTGGACGAGGCTAATGCCCTCGGGTCCTGCTTAGCCGCCTCCTGGCTTCAATCTTGCCTCTAGGCCTGGCTGGCACGGTGGTGCTCGGGGGCAGTGCAGGATCCGCGCACGCTCATCTCCTGTCAAGGCCCACTCTGAGAGCACTGCTGAATTTGATTTGCTGATATTTTGTTCAGAAAAATTGTTTCTATTTAGGGAGGATATTCGTCTACAGTTTTCTTTCCTCCAGTCCTCCACATGCTTGTCTAATTTTTATGTTAGAGTAATTCTGGCCTCATCAAATGAGTTGGGAAATGCTCCTTCCTCGTTGAATTTCTCGAAGAGTTTAAGTGGAATAGGTATTACATTGCCCTTAAATGTTTGGTAGAATTCACCATGAAAGTGTGGGTTTTTCTTTGTGGAAAGGCTTTTTAACTGCAAATTGAATTACTTTAATAGATATAGAGTTAGTTAACCTTCCTTCTTAACTGGACTGTGGAATTGTCTTTCAAGAAATTTGTACACTTTATATGTTATAGAATTAATGAGCAGAAAAATGTTTAATATTCACTTATCCTTTAAATGTCTGTAGATCTGTATTACTTTTCCTACTTTTATTGCTGATATTGGTAATTTGTGCCTTCTTACAGTTTGGGGGAGTAATCCATTTTGTTGACATGTTAAAAGAGCTTTTGGTTTATTTTTCTCTGTTCCCTTTCTATTTTCTATTTCATGGATTTCTGCTTTTATCTTTATTATTTCCTTTCTTCTGTTGGCTTTGGAATTAATTTTTCGTATTTTTTAAATTCTAAAGGTGGAATATTGGATAACTTATTTTAGACCTCTCTTTTCTAAACAGCATTTTTATAAATTCCCTCGAAGCAGTATTCCAATAGTAGCAGAAATTTTGCAATGTAGCATGTTTATTTTCATTCAATTTAAAAATATTTGCTAATTTAGACTATAATTTCTTCTTTAACTTATGTGTTATTCATAAGCGCATTTTAAAATTTTGCTATATTTGGGAATTATCCAGATATCTTTCTGTTGAATTTTTAGATTTATTTGTGGTTAGAGAACATGCTATGTATAATTTAAATTATTTTAAACACCTGGACTCTTTTGGCCCAAAATATAGTCTATCCTGGTGACTGTTCTATGTGCACCTGAATATTTTTTTCTATTGTTGAGTGTGGTATTCTACATATGCCAGTTATTTCAATTTGGTTGACAGTGCTCTTCCAGACTTTTTATATCCTTACTGATTTTTCTCTAAATATTCCAGTATCTACTAAAAGAAGTGTGTTGACACTTTTGACGATAATTGAGGATTTGCCTATTTCTACTTTCAATCCTGGCAGTTTGAGGCGGGAGGGTCAGGAGACAGGGAATCTAAGGTTGATTCACGTTGATTTCCTAGAAAAAAATCAAAAGGAAAACCCCACCTCTCTACACCCAAGTAACAAAAGGATCAGAGCCTACCCCTTTGTAAAACCCTCCACCCCTTTTCAGCATTGAAGATGAAAAATGAAAGTACCTTTGATTGGGTCCCTCCTGAAACCAATCAGACTGATCACAGGCCAAGTCTTTATGTGTAACTTTGTAATTTTACTTCAGCCTCTGATTGGCCACCTTCAGCAACCAATCAGACTGGTCACAGGCCATTACTTTATTTACATAAGGTGCAAACCAAGTAACCAATGGGAAACCCCTAGAGGGTATTTAAACTCCAGAAAAGTCTGTAACCAGCCTCTTGAGCTGCTTTCTCTCACTCCCACTTTGTGGAGTGTACTTTAGTTTCAATAAATCTGTGCTTTTTTTTTTTTTCATTGCTTTGTTTGTGCGTTTATCCAATTATTTGTTCAAAATGCCAGGAATCTGGACACCCTCCACCAGTAATAGGTAACAGTTTTGGTTCTGTGTATCTTCAGAGCTGTTACTAGGTATGTATGTATTTGGAATCATATGTCATCTTATTGCTTTTGATCTCATCAACATTATGTAATATTCTTTATCTTTGTTGTAGTAACTGACAGAATTTTCTTTCACTATAAAAAAAAATGTCACTTTATCATCTTCCGATCCGCAAAGTTTCAGGTGTGAAATTATAATTCTTATTGTCTCTAAACTCTTGGATGACCTGTTATATTCTTTTTTATTCTTTGTAGTTTAGTTGGGGTAATTTCTGTTACTCTACAAGTTCACTTGATTTTTTTTTTTTTTCCATCCTGTGTCCAGTTTCCTAATAAGCACATGGAAGGAATTCTTTATTTCTGATATCGTGGTTTCATCCTTGTCATTTCCATTTGACTCTTTAAAAAATTTTTCATCTCTGAAAAATTTCAGCATATATCAATGCATGTTTTTAAAATTTCCAGTTTCTTTGACATATTTAAGAAGTTATTTTAAGTTTCTCACCAATAATTCCAACATCTTGAACACACATATATGAGTTTTTTTCCGCTAATATTTTTTCTGGCAACAGGTCCTTTTCTTGTTTTTTTGTGTGTTTGTCTCTTATAATTTTATTGAATGGCAAACGCTGTATGTCAGGCCAGCATGGAGATACCTCTTCTGTAACTCTATTAAAGTGAAGTGTTGAGCTAGTTTATGTTTCACTGTTCCCGTAGTCACCTTTAATACACTTCACATTCTCCCAGTGATGTGCAGGGTCTGGGGAGCGGGAGGGTTTTTATTAGGGTTCTGTTCTGATTTCAGCAGGCCCTGCACACCTGCACTGTGAAAGGGTTCTCTCTCTAAACTCTTGACCCTCCTCTCTTGTGCCTTGTTATGTGAAAATAATGATAGTGTTGGGAGGAAAGAGAAATTCTAATTTATTTTGGCTTATTCGCAGTCTTGGGCAAGGCCCTGTGTACCTTGGCCTCAGGAGTGTGGCTTCCTCGGCATTCCTCAACGTCCTCCTCAGCAGTCAAGCTCTTCTTGTATCTATGGGGAATCTTGGGCAGGAAAGAATTTCTCCTCTGCAGGCGTAGCAGATCTCTGCCCCTGTGTCACTGTGGGGGATCCTTGACCCCAGAGGATTTCCTGCTCTTCTCTCAGTTTGAACATGTTTTGCTTCTCCCATTCCTTCAACAGCAGAATGTTTTTGTGTAGGATCAGTAATGGGGGATTTTCTGCCCCTCTTCAAGCTGTAGACTGTTTTTGTGTGTTGCTTGGTGCAAGGCTTGTGGTGGGAGGTATGGTGGTTTCCTCCTCTTTTCTCTGCTATAAATAAATTTTGTTTCTAGCTTTCTCTTTGCATCACTTTACATTCTCTAAGACCAGGAGAAAAACAGGTTTATCCTACCCTTCCCCCAAGGGAAGAAATGTTTTGCTTGTACTGCTTCTCTAAAAGCACTCAAACTCTGTCTGATTCCTGGGAGCAGGAGGGTTTATTGGCCCTCCCTAAGCATATTAAAGGTTTTGCTTCAAGCGAGAAAAGGTGCAGGGAAATGCTGAGGTTTCCTGCCGTGAGGTCGGCATGGCTAAGGGGCTTTCTCTGGCTTTGCCCTGCCCCAGGCCTTCTAATGAGCTCCCACTTGAGGCCTGTGGAAACAACCTGGAGACTCCCCTTGCAGCTAGGATTCTGAGTGACACATGAAAGCCCAACAGAGCTTAAGACTTTGTTCAAAATTTAGCGATTATTTTACTTTTATGGCTGCCACCTTTTCCTCTTATGCTCGGCAAAAAATAAAACGATCTGTGAGTCCCATCTCTCCTTAGTGGTGCATGTGCCCCTTGGAGTTCAGCTTAAGTGGTTGCCTTGTGACATCAGCAGTCTGATGTGCTCAGATAAAGTTAGATTTTACACATTATCTGGATTTTTCTTGTTGTCAGATAAGAGCAATTATCTCTGTGGCTTTTTGTTTTCTAAGCACAAGTCCATGCAAGATGACTTTTCCTTAACTAGTTCAGTTTCTGTTAAAACATTATTTTTGAGTTATCATTATAATATTGCTCTGCTGGAATAAAGTCCTTTGTAAACATATATTTCTGGATGGTTTTCAATGATGGCACTCTACTAAGTGAATTGTAGGTTACATTTTATATATTTTATTTCACGTGCTTATAAAATAAGAATCTGTGATAATTTTTAACTAAAAATCGAATCAAAATAAGAAAATCAGGCATAGAAAATGAATGGTGATGATCTTAAATTGATTTAAATATAATTCATACTATATTAATCTGAAAATGATGACTACATAACTTAATGTGAATTTTATCCACATAAAGACAATAAAAATAATGATATAATTAATACATTTAGAAATTGAGGCAGGAGATATGAAAATGTTAAAGCCTTCACATTTTTATACCAGGGAAACAATCTTTGCTAAAGTAAAACACGTATTTAAAGAATAAAAGACTAGTGACTTCAAATACTTCGTAAAAATAATATTTTTCTTAATCTTAAAAGGGAAGACCTAGGAAATAATGTCTTACGTTAAAAAAAAATTCTAAATATTAATTTATTTAGTTTAATTTTCTCTTTTATTTTCTACTAGATCCTGCTAACAAAAAATTTAATGCTTTTTTGCAATTAAAGCATAATATGTATAGTATAATTCTACTTTACTAAATGCATTTCTGTTTTATGTTTCTACTTATTCATCTGTATATATTTCCAACTGTAATACATTAGTAGATTGTATATTCACAATGACTATTTCTCAGTTACGTATAACATTTTGGGTTTAAAAACTTTTTTCCTTTGTAATTATCTGCAATTTTAAGTTTTAGTATAGAATCTATAATGTATTTTTTTTTAAATGTATAATGTATTTTAAATTGTTATTTTAGTTAAACAAGCATTTTTCTAATTTAAAAATGGTTGGAAGGGTATTTAAAAGAATTTAACCTTTAAAAGAATTTTTAAGTAATTATAAATGGTGACATTTGTCTTCTTTGTACTTTTATGTAACAATTTCTAATAATATTTCATTCTGGCTTCCAGATATTTAATCTGCACATTGTCATGCATTTGAGAATATTAGACAAACACATTTGTAAAATTTCATATGTCATATGTGTTATCAGGTAGACACATAGAGAAGAGCACACAGTAACTGCAGAACATTGTAGAGAGACTCCAAAAATGTGTTCGATAAAATATAGCACCTTAAAGCAAAAAAAAAAGTATTTTAACTCTTGGTGATTCTGGATAAAAACAAAAACACATACACAATAAACACACTCCTTACATATATATTATACTAGTGCACATTTAAATATATGTTTAATATATAATGAATATCATTTGAATTTAACTAGAAAATAGTATATGGGGAGGGAAATCAATCTCTTAAAAAGTGGTGGTTAGTGTTAGCAAAAGGCACACAGGGCTCAATAAATATTTGTGGAAAGAAAGAATGTCTGAGTGAACAAATGTATGTGTGAGTTAATATCCAAATATAGAGAGACAGAGTTATAGGGATAACAGACCAGTTGTTTTCTTATTCTCAAGGTTCTTCCCTCCCTCTCATTCATATCCCAGCCAGGCACTCCTTCTTGATAATTTGCAAAGAAAATACTCTGAAGAGTCTGAAGTTCACTTGTTGAACCCAATGTTTTCCCCCAGGCATTGGGAAGGGGAAGGCAGAAAAGCAGACTGTAAGATCAAGTGGTAGTGGATGCTAACAGAGAATCTTTGGACAGGATGGGACAGAAACAAAGTCATGCATGTTCTATCTATCTGTCACCTGTGGACAACTTGCCACTTCAACAGTTCTGGACGCTTTTAAATCCCCTAAGGAGAAGGTAGGAAACTTGGACACCCTGTGTGGGATTGAGAATCACAAAGGGACAGTCTCGCCACCTGGTCAAGAGAGAACTGAACTGAATTTCTTCATTCACAAGTGGGATTCTCGTAAGAGCAAGGAAAGCAGGTACCATCTGTCATTACCCACAGCAGGAAGGGGTGAATCTTAATGAGGGAAGAAAACAGATTCTATTAGTGGAAAAACATTTAATCAGAAAATAAGGCTCTGGAAAGAAAAGGCAAATTGGGGCTTTGTCCTAAGAAATAACAGAATATTTTTCTGCCAGAGAAAGCAATTCCAAGGAAGGAATTTTCAGATTGCTCAAAAGTACTGGTAAGCATTATTAGTACTTTCAGTGGGAAATAATTGAAAATAAGCTGGAGCAAAAGTTCCCCAGGTGTGGTTCCAGGACCAGCAGCAAGTATCACCTGGGAACTGTTAGAAATGCGAATTCTTGGGCTCTGTGCCTGAATCACTAAATCAGAAACTCTGAGATGAGGCCCAATAGTCTGTAGTTTAACAAGCTCTCCAGGGGATTTTTATGCCAATTAAAGTTTGAAATCCCCTGGTGCTAGCGCTGGAAGCAAATGAGTCACAGCGGTGAAGAATTCCTACCATTAATCCCCTGGCTGGGATAAATAAAAATGAGAAACTAAAAAGTTAAATGATCAGAGGTTGACCATAGTTCAAAAGTCAGGATATACCTGAATATAAAATTCTTTCTTAACCTAGATACAAATGGGAATATGTTGAATCATTTCTTTAACATCTCATTAGTTTTTTCTTCTAGCTTAAATGAGGTATGATTGACAAAAGTTGCATATATTTAAAATGTCCCTGATGTTCTGGTATACATATACAATGTGAAACAATTACCGCAATGAAGCTAACATAACCATCACCTCACCTAGCCACCATTTTTGTGTGTATGTGGTAAAAACCCTTAAGACCTACTCTCTTACCAAATTTCAAGTATACAGTACGTTGTTATTAACTATAGTCACTTTGCTGTACATTAGATCTCCAGATCTTACTCATCTTCTAATGAAAAGTTTGACTAACTTCTCCCCCAACCTCCACCCCCTGTTAACCCCCACTCTACTCTCCCTTACTGTGTGTTCGACTTTTTTAGATTCCACATACAAGTGAGATCATTCAATATTTGTCTTCCGGTGTCTGGCTTATCTCACTTAGAATAATGTCCTCCAAGTTTATCTATGTTGTCACAAATAGCAGGATTTCTTTATATATTTATAAAATAAAAACTAGACTGAATTATGCTTTATATTTCTTTCGTCATCCCAATTTTTGATACCTGAAAATGATAATCTCCACGTTGAGGCTAGTAGAGGATTGCCTCTCACCCGATGATGATAATATCAAGAGCAGGCACAATGCTGTTAGGGGGTCAATTTATAGCCTAGACAAAGAGCTCTAATCTCATTCTCAGTGATGCATTCCACTAACTCCTCCACCTAGTGGATTTACACTGGCATTTTTTCATGCCCACTAGGTTCTTCCCAGTACCTCACCTTTTCAGCCCACTTTCACTGGCAATCCATTGGTTAAAACTCAGCCAATGTCATCATATCATTTTGTCAAAGCATAGTCAAAACAATAATAAATTATATATAAATAATAAATAATATCTAATAGCAAATAATAATAGAAATCATAGCAAATAATATATAAAATATATAATTTAATAACAAGTGAATTCTAGGTTACTATGCCAACTCAATCCTCCAACCTCATGAGAATTGAAAATCCATTATCAAAAACACTGTGAAAATACAGCATAAAAATAGACCCAGATATTTCCTGAGAAGTTAACAACACCTAGCCCACCCGAGGAAGAGCTGCAGCTGGAGCTACTTGGGCTCGGTGAGCTAAAACCACACAGGAAGTCTCAAACACAGGGGCTCACTTACTGTGTGCCGGGGGCCCAGGTGACCCTGACAAGACGTCCTCCTCTCTTCTCCCTCCTTCATCCGAGGTCTAGGAACAAGGCAGAAAGTTAATTCTTAAAATAACAGGGATTTAAAGGAGGCTGAGGCAGGAGAATTGCCTGAACTCAGGACGCGGAGGTTGCGGTGAGCCGAGATTGCGCCATTGCACTCCAGCCTGGGTAACAAGAGTGAAACTCCGTCTCAAAAAAAATAAATAAATAAATAAATAACAGGGATTTAAGATATACCTTTAAATCTTTGGCTTGCTTTAAATTTGGCCTTTGGAGTATGGATTCTCTCTATAGGTTTCCAGTAAGAAACATTCGCTTGAGAATGTGATATTGTACTAGAGCATCTAATAATTGAAAATAGAAAGTTTGGACCCAGATTGGTGGTTTTTGTTTGTTTGCTTGTTTGTTTGTCTTTTGAGAGTTTTCCTTCGCATTTTTTAAAATGATTTCTTAGAGTCATACTTTGCCTTAGATTCCATATTTTTGTAAAGTATCGACTTGGTTGGTTTATTTACTGAAAGTGAGAAAATAACTAATTCCTTTTATTGTTGACTCTCCTCAAAAATAAGCATTGGCCAATTCTTTGTGCTGTCATTCATATTCCATGATTTACCAGCTGTATCAAACCAATATATAGAAAAATCATGTGCTTCAAACACAGTTTTTGGGGGGTTGGGTTTTTTTGTTATTGTTGCTGTTTGACATATATCATCTTATCTAATCCTCCAAAATGATGTTCATGTTTTAGAGATGAAGAATTAGGGGCATTAGATGATTCACAAAAAGCCACTCAATTGACAAATGCACATCTATATTTTATGTAGTCTATTTTAATTCTCACTTATACTTTTATAGGCAGGAAGAAGAGGATAAATTATGTGATCATTCTCACCCTACTTTTCTGTAATTAAGAAATGTTTGTCAAAATTTTTTTTTAAAAGGCCTTTCCATACAAATCACTTTGTTTTTTACATTCAAGGAATATCACACACAATTTTTTTCTTTTTCTTTTTTTTTGAGACGGAATCACTCTGTCACCCAGGCTGGAGTTAGTGGCACAATCTTGGCCCACTGCAACCTCTGCCTCCCAGGTTCAAGCGATCCTCCTGCTTCAGTCTCACAAATAGCTGGGACTACAGGTGCATGCCACCAGGCCTGGCTAATATTTGTATTTTTAGTAGAGACAGGTTTTCACCATATTGGCCAGGCTAGTCTCAAACTCCTGACCTCATGATCCGCCTGCCTTAACCTCCCAAAGTGCTGGGATTACAGGCATGAGCCACTGAGCCCGGCCCCACACAAATTTAGCTATGAGCTCCAGGAACAGAACTGGGACAAGCTGGATGTTTATCGCCAGGTGGTCACTGTGAGTTTGCGGTGAATGACAAGAGCGGAAGCATCTAATACCAGGGCTGTAAAGTAGGCAGATTGGGAGTTTTCTGGAGAACTGTGTGGAATGGGGAGAGAGCTACTAAAGTGTCATTTTGCAGCCTAAATAAGGAAGGGTGTTCACTCTCCTTGGCCCATTGAAAGCATTTTTGCATCCACCCTTCAGCTTTCAAAATGATTGCTCAGTGATTCTGTCATCAGAATTGCAACTTCAGTGTTTGGCAAGCTGGGAGTCTTCCATCAGACCCTCAGCATGAACTCTTCTGTTCTTTTTAGAAAAGAGATTGTATAATCTCCCTAACATCCCCTTAAGTTCACACCTTAAAGTCCTAACAATACCTTAGCCGGCTATGGAGCTCCAGACTCTTCAAACCTCAGTGCTTGTTCATACTAATTCAATCATCTGCTTCTAGAAAGAGGAAACCCATCTTAAAAGACAGCTTTCCAAAGATAACTCCTCCTCTCCAGAAAGAGCTACCTGTACATATTCTTCCTCTTCACATATAAACTCTGCTGTGTTAAAACACTGAGCTCTAGAGAAGAGGGGGAAATCTTGTGTAAACCCATATTATTAAAAATTATCTCAGCCTCACAATCCAAATGCTGGAAAAATCAAACAATCAAGATTTTTTTTAAACAGTATTTTCTACCATAATCTACCTTAATAGCAGCATCAGTAATCCATTTCTCACAGGTAGATAATAACTTTTCCAACAGAGAAATACCTGTAACCAATGTAAATGTTTTTTACTCATGTGCCATATTTACTGTTGGAAATCATTATACAATGAAAAATATGTACAAAGTTCAGTAAGCCACATAAACCAAATATTATAGAATAATTCAAATTGGAAGAGTTGTGACTATCAAACGGGATGAAGAAAGTTAGTCTTAGCATTGTATTTGTTATATTATTTTACAAAATATCTGTTTATAAAGCTCTCAGTCCAAGTTGATCACACATTCAGTGAAGGCAGAAATTATGGCTTACTCACTTTTGAACCATCAACATACGGTGCAATGTCTGGCATATAAAAACCGCTAGATAAATAATTACTAAATGAATGCTTTTTCTTTGATTTTTGTGTTTTGTTTGGGACAGGGTTTCACTCTGTTGCCCAGGCCACAGTGCAGTGACCTGATCATAGCTCAGTAACCGTCTACTTTCAATTGTTTCTGGGTCTCAAGCAATCCTCCCATCTCAGCTCCCTAAGTAGCAAGAATTATGGGCATGTGCCACCATGTCCAGATAATTTTTAAAATTTTTCCGTTGTAGAGACAGGGTCTTGCTATGTTTCCTAGGCCGATCTCAAACTCCTAGCCTCAAATGATCTTCCCACATTGGCCTCTCAGAGTGCTGAGATTATAGGCATGAACCACCATGACTGACTGAATGAATGCATATTTTTGTGGTTTAACATAATAGAAGACAAACAAATTTAAATTTTAAGTACTAAAAAGCTTTTAATTTTTTTGACACAGAGTCTTGCTCTGTGGCCCAGGGTGGAGTGCAGTGGTGCCTTCTTGGCTCACTGCAATCTCAGCCTCCCGAGTTCAAGGGATTCTCCTGCCTTAGCCTCCTGAGTAGCTGGGACTGCAGGTGTGAGCCACTACACCCAGCTAATTTTTGTATTTTTTGGTAGAGATGG